TAGTAAAAATAAAGACTTAAAATTTTTCCTCTGAAATTTATAGACTACCTGAAGTCTATCCACAAACACGATAGATTCCTGTGTTAGAATCCTGTGCAATAAACTGATTATACAACCTACTGATTATAACAAGAAAAGACCCACATCTTTGCCAGGGAGAAGAGCATCTCTTGGCTCTGCTCAGATCACATCCACATTGGATGCTCTGAGATCTCTGACTTCTTGTCCACTCTGTTATAAACTTGAGGTCTTTTATGCCTCACTCAGCTCTGTAGTACACAAAACAGGAGTCTGTGTAAATAAATGGGCTATGACTGGGAAAGGTGACAGCCCTGTCATTGAGAGAACAGATGAAGACAGATAAGACAGCAAAGGGCACATCTGCTGCCAGCTGCCAACTGCCAACTTAGGTTCCTTCAACCATAAACCCAGTGCACCCACCAAAATCATGATGTATGTAAGGCTTTGTTTGCTGGATGTTTTGTTTTATTGTGTTTTGTTTAATAATCAGTGTTTTGAAATTGTAATGATTCCCTGAGACAAACTGTAAGAGCTCTTCATTGTACCCCAAATGAATGTTGTTGGAATGATCAAAGGGCCAAGCTCTCTGCTTGCCAGAGCTCTCCTAACACTGTGGGAACAAGAGGGCAGACTTATGCTGATTGTACATCCTCTGTTGTTTGACAAGACAGCTGGAGGTGGGGGGCTTGACCCTCTTTCCAATATTATTTCTGGGCTAGCTCAGCACTCTCAGAAAAAAAGGTATTTTACATGCTGAGAAGCTACTAAAATGAGTGTCAGTTACTCTCATCATGATGTAAACATTGGACATGGTAATAATAAAAACAATTATTGTTTGATGCCACATATGACAGGAACATGGCATGCACTGTATATACCCTTTCTTAGTGGACTGAGAGCGCCACCAGGGCAGGGAAAGGTCAGATATCCCCATACTTAAGTGTAGCAGACTGTGTCCTTGGCATTCACCTATCCACACATTCCACTGGGATTTAACTGCAAGGTGGGTCAGAAGAACCAGAGAATTAACATTTCCAAAGCAGCCTTCCCTGATGAATGGCAGTTGGTGAGTAAATCCCACCCCCTTAGGGCAGCAATCCTAAGAAATATCCTATACTGTCTCCAGAGGACAGTTCCTGGAACACGGACTTCTGTGACTGCCTAGGCACATGGCCTTTTGCCAAGGCTCCAAGTTGAATCCCTCCACACAGTTCTCAGCAGTGTTAATGACCAGATTGTCCCCCATTGGCTGCTTACTCTGGAACCCTGAAGAGCAACTGTGCAGGGTAGCACATTTCTTGCTTTGAAAGTTTCAGGTAAATCACAGGTTTACATAATGCTCTGGATAGTCAAGCTTTCTATGTGTTTGTGATAGGCAAGGAAGCTTGCCAAAGGTTATTCTCCCAGGGTCTATGTCGGGGTATACATACAGAAAAGTAAGGCATATTCATTTTCACTAAAATGCAATCACCCACAGATGCCATTTCCCACTCATGCTGTTAGGAACAATAATAAAAAGCTCATAAGGGCTGGGGATGTAGATTAGTAGTAGAGTGGTTGCCTAGCACACACGAGGTCTTGGGTTTGATCCCTAGTACTGCCATAAAAAAAAATACTGCATGAATTCAGGGCCCCAATCAGCTCATTAAAGGTGCCTCTTGCACTGACATGATTATTATAGTTTCTTAGCAGGAGCAGCTGAAGCCTTGAGAGGCTAGAGGTCCAGGAATGCAGCTTTTATCCAGCAACCAAATCTCTGGGCTTCAGTGGCTCCCTTGTAAGTGGAAAACTCAGGATCTTTCAACCAGGTTTGTTTGTTTGTTTTCCTCTGAGGATTAAAAAGGATCCACCTTATTTGTGATATGTTTTAAATTCCTTTTACACCTGAATCTTTTTAAGAACAGAGGCAACCTTCACGTTCTGCTATGTTTATTCTGACATTATATATAAAAGTTTCCTTTAATTCAAGCTATTAAAATACTCAGGCTGTTTCTTTTCCCCCCAGGAAGGAATCCCCCATCCCATCCCAACCATAAATTTCCCAGGTCCCTCAAAGGGACACACGATAAATTAATTGCAGAGGGCAAGTTAATTAACCCCAACTGAGAAACAAGGTGCCTGGAACTGCCGGGTGACAGTTGCTCTACAAACTGTGTTTGGTATACAAATGAGTCAAAGGTGGCTTCTGTATATTGGTTGTTTATTTCTTCACTGCAAGAGGAGACCCATCAGCTCAAAAGCCTGCTGGTGCCAAACTTAAAATTTTTCCCATGCAGTTATTTTTCAAACAGCTCAAACAAGCAAATGTTTAGAACCTGCCTGCTTTGTCTAACCCTTGAAATCTCACTCAGCAGCTGTTACCTATTCATAAGATAGGGCCTATAGGTATAAGTCCCCAAGCTACTGCTGCCTCCCAGAAGCTCTCTGGCCCAATCCCCACTCTTCCCAATCTTGTGATATTAAGCAACATTACCTAAACACATAAACCCTCTGCCCTTGGGAGTTCACCTACCTCTCTTCCTTCTGGATGGTGTCCCTTCTGCCATGAGACTCCCAATAGACAGTCTCATACTATGAGGATTTCCAGTCTCACAACCCTGTTCAATAATCCACCTAAGAAATCTTGTTGCACATTTCCTTCACTAGTCCTTCAAACACTCTCTAAACATTCTGTGGACCAGGAGAATGACATGGAACCTGGCTAGCAATGGAGCATGTTGCCCTGCCCCAGATCCACTGAACCAGACATTGCATCTTAACAACATTACAAAGTTGTACACACTGCAATTCAATGTTAGTGTGCACACTGAAATTAGCTGTGTGCTGGGCTAAGAGACTTTCATTTGGGGATTAATGCAGTAGCCAAGCACAATACACTAAAGAGTCTAATGTGATAAAGACATCAACCCACCTTTTGACTCCTTTCAGCCTCTGCTTGTCAATCAATTTTGCTGAGCCTGTTTTTGCTTTGTCTCATAGAGACTATTTAGTAATCAGCTCTAAAGACTGCCGGGTATTACCTACTCAGGCAGGGAATAGGCTCTTCACAAGAAACCCTGATGCTGTACTGGACCATAGCCACATCTAAACAAGCATGTACACACACACACACACACACACACACACACACGTACCTACACAACCTTTACTGAATGTGCATATATATGATCAGATACTGGCCCCTCAAGCAAGCATGTTCCATTCGTACCCACCCGCCGGCATCTGCAACACACTAAAAGCCCCCTGGACTTCTGCAACCTGAAAATGCACACCAAGAGCAATCACATCCATTCCCAATGACTGGAATATTATGATCTTTTACAAGACACAGTGGGGAGCAGGTGTTAAGAGACACAGACAAGAGGAGCCTGAACAAAGAATCCCTTCCACGCAAAGGCATATGATCCAGTGAGTGATTGTGAATGAGGTCCGCCTCTGCCCAGGAGTGTGGAGGCTAAGCCTTAGGGCACCACACAGGACAGTGTATACCAATTAATAGCTAGAAAATCCTGGGTGAGACAAAGTGTATTTTGCTTATGCTTACTAGATTTACAGTTGGAAATTACACATGCTTACTAACTCTGTGTATGTTTACCATGCTGTCTTCCCAATGGACGACCTTGATATGGATTAAAAAAAAATTTTTTTTCACTCCATGTAATGGATTTTACTAATGTTTAGCAAAGTAGCTCTGGTCATTATTCTGTACTTATTTTTTCTTTCTTTTGTGTAATTTTAAACATCCATGAGATTTGATTTTTCATTCTATAACAACTATAGGCAACCACTTAGAAATAATCCAGAAAGGGTAAGTTGTGGTAAGGGACTAATACAAGTAATATTTATAATACAAGTAGTGTCAAGAAATAAAGAACTATCTAAAACAGATGGCCAGCAAAAGCCAAAAAGTCACTAAAAACTATTGAAAGTACAACATAAACTCAAAGGCATTTGTAGTGGGAACCCTGAAGACTGATTCTACATAGCCTAGTATTTTTATAATTAATTTCTAGACCTCAAAAATAAAAACTCAAATTACATTCAATTACATTTAATTACATTTAACATTTTCAGTTTAAGAAAGACACTGACTTTTACATTTTATAAATATTTCCATAATAAAGCAAACTTTTTAAAGCTGTTAAGGTCTTGCAGCTTTGGTGTATTTCTCTAGGAAATACATTAAAATGCTACAACTTATCCTTCCTTGAGAACAGGTATGTGTGACTCTGCTTTACTAAATATATGACATTCTGATTTGCCCTGCATACAGGCATTTGGAAGCCTCTATTAGTTGAATCCACAGCTTCAAAATATCAATTTAGAACCAAAGTTCACTGAACATCTGCAATGGGTCAGGAACTGTGTTATGCGCCAATAACACAAAGATAAATAAAAACCAGGCCTTTCTCTCAATGACCATTTAACTGGAGAATTTTCCAATGCCTTTTGAGTAATCACAAGATGGTGGTAGGCGCATTGTATTCAGTATAGACTGAGTAGGCACTGTATTTTATGAAAGCTGGATTCCTTAGGAAATGGTGGTGGGTGACACAAGGAGGGGGGCAATTCCTTAATATCCTAAACATTTTCATGGTTGTATTCATGTGGAATCCCCAACCAAAGGAAGGCATACATACAAAGCAAACAGAAACTCTCCAAGAGAAATGCACAGAATAGCACATTATCTTTAACCACTTTTTTTATACGAGGGTGCAAGGGAATGGGGTGGGAGAGAGAGAAGGAAGAAATGAGGTAAAGAAGAAAGGAGACGAGAAAGAAAGAGCCACTGAGGAAAATTGATGTATTCATCTTACTGCCTTTTTAGATTTCAATTGTTATGAAGGGAAGCAGTATCACTTGAGCCTGGATAAAAATCCAAATGGTACCATCCTGGGACCCTGGCAGCAATCTCCCCATCAATCCCTCCCCATCAGCCATCCCGTCCTCCTTCCTTATGCCTCCACTTCCCAATTTACCTTCACTGAAGACAAAATCCGAGATGATGTCAAAGGGCTGGATATGGACAGCTGATAGGATCATGGTAACAGTTTTCTGTGGATCACTGGAGGCAAGAGAAATGGTCTGCTGAGCTTGACACTCGTAGGACTTCCCAGCTGGGGTGACCAAGGCAGAAAGGTGATGCGAATTGGCTGTGTGCTTCCCAGCTGCAGCAAATGTCCAAAGCAATGGTTAGGGTCTTCTCGGTGGCAGTGCCGTCATTGCTCCTAACTCAGCGCATCTAACTGGGTTGGCTCTTTCCTCTCAGCTCAGACCCACAGCCCGTCCCTCCTATCCTCTTCTGGGGCTTCTCAAAGGCAGTAAGTTATAATGGACAAAAACACTCATTTTCTGTGAACTAGGGTTCCTTAAACACTGACTTGCAATTTCTTTTTGGAAAAGGAGAGTGACATTTAAACCTTAACCCTTTTCATTACATAGAGCCTATCAATAGGGATCCCAAAGGCATAGAAAAAAACAGTCACTTGGTTTTTCCAATGGCTCAGCAAAGAATAAAACATTTTCTTCAATAAAGCATGTTGGATTGCTGGTGCCCTGGTGAATGTCCTCTACTCAAACACATATATACCTATGAACATCCACCACACTTTTTCTCCTTTTCTGGCCTAGGTTTGATTTTTTTTTCATTTCTTTTTTCTTTCAAACATTGTGGGGAATGCATGAAGATAAATTTTGATGAAAAGAAAAAATGTTCCTTAAACTACAGTTATTAAAAGGGGAGGGAAAGGACAGATGACACATGTATTCATTTGATTTCAATAAAAATTATTTTGCAGCTCAGGTGACTGGGTGATTGAAGGCCTCATTATGAAGAAAATAATTTTTAAAAACGTAAATATGTTGGGCTGGGATTATGGCTCAACGGTAGAGCGCTCACCTAGCATGGGCGGACCTGGGTTCAATTTTCAGCATCACATAAAAAAAAAAATAAAGGCATTGTGTTGTGTCCATCTACAAAAAAGATTCATTCTCTCTCTCTCTTAAAAAAAAAAAACTTATATATGCTTTTTGATAGTGATTGCAGATAGATACATTGTTATTTAGTAAATAGATGTTTCTCTTGATGCAGTATTACTGGTATATATTTCCGCGATTGGGTGGGCAGGATGCACTCTTTGTAGAGAATAGAAACGGCCTAGTAAAGCCAGTAGTTTAATCGCCAAAATGAAAGAATGGTCAGGAAAAAGCTTATAAATTAAGGCCTGGGGTATAGAACAAGCTCCAAAGTGGCTGCAGTTGATGACAGAAGACACTGTGTGAGCCTTGCTGCCATGCGCAGAATGATACTGAAAGCCATCCAATCCTGACCAAAAAGGATAGTCGCATTTTTAGGGTGAAAAAATGGTGCAGAAGAAAATAAAAATAAAGCTTTGGCGTCCTTCTCCATGTTTCTTCTGAAACTAAATGATGAGGCGGGTATGAAGCAGTCAGAGGACAAAATCAGGCCCTGAGTGACACAGGAATTCCTAGAGGACTCAGGCCTTCATGTCTCCTCCACCCTGCAGAGCAAGCAGGCCAAGGCTGGACTTGGCCTAGCAGTGCATAGCCCAGACTGGTTTCCCAAACCCTGAGGAACTTCTCATCAGCGCCTTGGCTCCCAGGGGTGTCTGCACTTTCCCAGCCTTCCTCCCCAGCCCCGCCAGACTCCACTCACCGCTGACTGCGTCTTTAAAGTGAGTCTTCTCCGCGGAGTCATAGACAAATTGCACCTTGCTCAGCCTCCACGTCGCTTCTGGACCCTTGGACGTGTTGTGGCTTTCCTGTCAAAAGTGGGAGGCACGTGTCAACCGCTCCAAGGGCTTCTGGGTCTGCTATGGCCCACACCCACAGCCTCTAGGCGCGCCCCTGTGGGAGTTACCTTTAAAAACAGCATTTTGAGAGCATATGCACGGTCCACCCAGAACACCTGCAGCTCCGACTCACTGCTGCCACAGCGGCCATTCACCTCAGCTCCCCGGGTCAACGAGATGTCAGCCTGTTCTGTGATCAGCTGGGAACATAGACGCCCCGCGCCCACTCAGTGGTGCAGGCCCCAGTGGGGCTGTTAAGGGCGGCGCATCCAAACTCTGGGTTGCACATTTGGGCACTCCTTTGCGCGCGCGCGCGCGCTCCCATGTCCAGGAACATGCGGTTAGATTTTCTACGTGCAGCCCCCGCCAGTGGGGAAGCAGAGAAAAGGGGATTTATTTTCAAAGCAGGCAGGGCGAGCAGAAGGTGTACAAGCCGGAACCCCCATGCAGCATTCTGGAGCAGCCTGCAGGGTTATGGGGTTGGGGGAAAGGCGGGCGACCCAGGTCTTCGCAGGGCCATAAGGGGAGGGTGCCCTTCGGCCCTGGAGCCCTAGGATCAAGCTGGGGGGAAAAGGGTTCCTTACATCGACATAATTGCTGGCCCACACATCATAAGGTACAATAAATTTGGCTGCAAATTCTGCCATGAGACACGTCGTCCCATTTTCCCGCACAACAAATATGTCTTTTTCAGGGTTAGTAGAAAGGCCTGAGAGATTTTCCACTTCTTGCTCTGCCATGATTTGAGCCATTGTATCTGCGGAACAAACAAAAGGATCTCATCAGTTTAGTGCTCCTGAATTCCGTGCGTATGGGTCACTAGAGTGCAGAGACCGCGATCTGCGGGCTTTGGAGTGACAAAGTTCCCTGCTAGCAGCTGTGTGCTCTTCAAGCCATTTCTCTAGCCCAGCGCTAACAAACTCAGTTCCGTTGCTTTTGATTTAAAATGGGGATAAAATTTAAACATTTAAATATTCTTACTTATTTGCAATGAAACTGGCTTTTCTCTACATCCTGGGGGTTTGAAGCCAAACCTTTCTTGCCAATCCTGTGACCCCACTAAGCCAGCCTGTCTAGCGCTCTGTCTGGCATATGCTACACAGGTGTGTGGTTCCCAAGGGAGCTCCCTCCCACCAGCGGGGAAATCCTTCCCCTTTCTCCCAAAAGAAAAAAAAATTAAAAAACCCTCAAAACATAAGGACCATATTTTTAATCTTAAATACTGGCTTTAGTATACCATTTCTATTCTCTGCAGAGAGTGCATCCTGCCCACCCAATCGCCAAAAAACGGTACTCACGGAACAGCATCAGAAGAATTCGAAGTCTATGGACGCTGAGAAAGGCTCTTCCTCTGAGATCCATGCTTGCAGTTGCTGCGGAAGAGGCCAGATGTGCTGCTGCAGTGGGCGCCTGAGAGGGAATCCCTCAAAGTCGCTGCTGGAGTGGGCCGGAGTGAGCGAAGGGCGGGGGACTGAGAGGGAGGCGGGAGGGAGCGCGTGTTCCCTACGCGCTGGCTAAGACCGGGGTCGGGTGCCGCACCGGCCGCTGCTCGCTGGGGAAGTCAGATCACTGCAGAGAGCAGCAACGCATGGCGAGGGAGCTGTCCATGGCTGCGAGTGCTGAAAGGAATCCGGTTGTGTTGCAGGAGTGGTTGTGACTTGGCTTGTGCAGAGGTCCAATGAGATTTAGGGGGGCTAAAATTCTCCCTGAGTTTTTTTCTTTATTCTGCAATTGTGTCCGCAACGATGAGTTTCTCCTGGGAAACTTAATGGCACCCTTGGACTTATTAACCTCCCGACCAGGTACAAGTAATATGTAGTATAAATATCATATCACTGGAGTCCTAAATTCTGAAAATGCTCCTGGCTCCTGAAAGAAAACGGTAGAGCACAAATTGCGCCTGCTTTGGAGGAGGAAGGGTAGAAAAGAATGAGAAGGAAAATGCTATGGCAACAGTTTCATACATTTAGAAACATCTCCTTCTCTTCCCTGCTCTCAATGGAGCTCATAGGTTTAAAGTTAAATTGATGTCTCCTTAAATGGGGCCATCAGACAATGCAGTCTGATGTCTCCTTTTGGACTTATTGTCCTGTTATACTTTCTGAGTGCATGTGGACTCTGAACTTTGGGGTCACATACCCTCACTGATTATATTGTGATTATTCTGCCAAGAGAGATGTAAATTTTATGAGGTTATCTAGGGTCTTTTAGGACAGGAATTTTAGAATTATGCTGTAAGTGATGTCACATAGTTATGTAAGAAAAAATACACACTGATATTATTCTAAAGCCTCTAGTGGAAGAAAAACAAATATTACTGGGATAATTCCTATATTTACATTTTTTGGTAGTTTGCTCATTTTTTCCTGTTCCTGCTCTATAAATAAGAATACACCCTTTTTAGGTGTCCTCGTGTTGTCCTCATTAATTGTGGTGATGTCAAATATTTCTTTTCTTAGTGAATATTTCAGTATATGAATAGTCTTGCTCACTCAGTAATATGCTATAAAATAAACAATGTCATGTTAAAGGGCAAAATGCAAAGCATTTTACATGTATTATTTAATTAGATCTTCCTCACAACTTTAGAGAGTAGAGAAAGGAAGATATAGAATTATTGTTGTTATACCTACCCCTAAACCGAGGCTCAGAGAAATTAAATGACCTTCCAAACATCACATGGTCAGTTAGAATTAAAATAGAAGAATCACATGTTGTAACTTTGTAAGGATCATCTTCCTCTCTCCTTATATAATACTTAGATTTTGACTTTCATTAAAAAAATCTTTATTCAATGACCAAATAACAAACTAAAACCTAAAATCTCTATCAACAATTTATATTCCTGAAATTTATAGGGTTCTCATTAAAGTATAATAATATTTTGACATGGAATTTACTTCAAAGCATCCATATAATTTTTTTTTTGCTTTCAAACACAGCCTTGCATCAAAAATTAGATCACTAGTGATTCAACTTATGACATATTATTTAAATCAATACTATATTTTACATCTTTACTTATACTACATTGTGGTATTTCAGCCACATATTTCTCAAGAACTTTACATAAATAATTATATATAAAAGAATTGAGGCAAAATTGTGATTTATATAAAGACAATTGTCAGTGGAAAGTTGTAATTTTACAACACCTTACATTTTGTCATGTTAGAAATTATTATAAAGCATTTATGTAAAATTATAAAGCAATAACATATAATATAGCATTTTTCTCATTCTCTTCTCTATCTCCCCCCTTCTCTCCCTGTCTCTCCCTTTCTCTCCCTCCCTCCTTCCCTCTCTTTCTACAACTTTAATGAGAAAAAAATAGGTGGATTTCAGTTTAGAATTCACTATTTATTATTTGCATGATCATGTACAGATTGTAGTTTTTCAGTCTAAAATATTGGGATCATAGCTAAGGGATGGCTGGTTAAGTAAAATGAACCAATGAATATAAAAGCATTCAAAACAAAATACAGGTTAATATAATCTACTAGCATTAAACTGAATATCTACTACTTGCATTATGCTTAGTGCTTTAGACACCAAAAGATAAATAAATACCATTGTACAATGGAGAGAGAGAGAGAGAATTGTAAAAAGATTGTGATAGTTTCTTTTGTGATACATTGTTGCAGACATCTCACTTCATAACCTGTTAAAAGACTAACAGGATTAATTCATGGCTCTCTGCTTTAATAATAAAAGATGGGGCTGTGGTTCAGTAGTAGAGTGCTTGCCCAGCGTGAGGCACAAGGTTCGATCCTCAGCACCATATAAAAATAAAAGTATTGTGACCACCTAAAAGTTTATTTAAAAAAAAAGATTAGATGGGAAGCACCATTGTTCATCAATCTTAACATATTGTAGCAAATTGTAATTGATTTATAAACCAGATGATGTTTCCTTTTAAATATTTTTCCTCTATTTCTTTTCATACCCGATACAAATGGAATACTCAGAAGATATTTTTAAATAAAAGAAAAGAAAAAAAATGACTTTAAACTTTTCTTCTGGGGAAGATCATCTTCAAAACATAATTAATTCAATACCATTTTTTTGGTGTTCAATCTTAAACACTGCTTATACTTCCAGATGCTCAATAATTTACTCATTTTATCAGTAGTCATTCTTACTTGCAATAGGAACTAGATCATTAAACTTACAACTTTAACCTACATTAATAAGACTTTTTAATAATTTTGAAAAATGTATATACTCCGTTCCTTAACATAAAACCAGAGGTGGTGAAAAAGAAAACTTTACCGATAAACTGTACTTTAGATATTAACAAAGCTCCCCAGGATTTGATCCATTTCTCATTTCTCAACTATGAGAAACCAGTACAAATTGATATATACATGTACTCTTGTGTGGGTGGGGCCTGTCAATTTTCATTAGTGCTGTTGGTAGTTAAAACAAAAGATAAACATAAGTGTGACCAGATCCAACACACTGGGTTTAGGAACCTCTCTAAATCTTCTAGGTCCTGAAAGAATCCTCTTCAACCATGCATTTACATATTAAATTAGCCTCCATGAAACTCATGATATTGGATGCTTGCTATTTTATATAAGTAAAAGAAAAGTCCCCGCATCATGGAACTCCCAATTTAGATGGGAAAAAATAAGAACACACATGAAGATGCAGTGCAGCTTGCCACAGTGGGTACATAAGCTGTTCAAAGGAAAAGGCAAAACAGCCATCCTAAGAGAGGTTGAAATTGACAAAGAAGTCCTCTGAAAGAAGGTGGGTCTTGAAGGAAGTGGATAATTTGACCTGTGAGTAAGACAAGGAATGGCAATGCAGATGAAATATCTGTGGAATAATGGAGTTGATGCAAAGATGTAACTCTTCATCTTTCAATGATTATCAATTTGATATGAAGAAGAAATTAGGCTCCAAAATTCACAATGCTTTATATACTGATTATCTCTATGTGGTTTTTTTCTCTCTCTCTGGTCATTCATTCAACCATAGAAGGCATATGCAAAAGACAGGCCTATGCAAAACTTTCTCTAAACAAAATTAAAATTTTCAAGTTAAGTGCATTTCTTTATACAATTGATTTGCATTTGTAGAATCAAAAAGCAAAATTATGAAAATAAGGAAACAAAACTAATTAGAAAAGTATACATATGAGCTTCAATAGGAAAAGGCAAGGCTTTGTTAAGCTGAAATTTGATTGTTTAGGTTTCTGTCCCTCTTATAGTCAAGTGTAAAAATAGCCTCTGCTTCTGCTGTCCCCACTCCCACCAATGCCACCCCCACATACATGGAGGGGGGGAGAGAAAGAGAGGGAGGGTGAGAGAGAGAGAGAGAACCTGAACCACATATACAGCATTGTTAAGCCAGAATTACTACTCACTAAAACATTTTCTTGCTTTCAGCTTACTTGTCAATGGAGAGCTATTTCATCATTGTCTTTGAATAACATTTAAATCCTTTCTAGGATAGAAACCATTTGGGGATAGGAACTGAAAAGTAAGTACACACAAGAGTATTTTGTGCATACATTGCCAAATCCTAGAATAGAATAGAAATCTTTTTTTTTTTTTTTTGTCTTTTGAATCAGTCTTTAATTAAGTAACTGTTTGGTCAGTTTAGAGTTTGTCACATAGGCATTCGGTTGCTATTTGATACTACATGTAAGATTTTAGGCCATGAAGCACAATTTACTCTTCTTCTTAGCAGAGAAGAAATATCAATTGGGTCAGGGGACTGTTCAGTAGAGTTTAAACAAGAGTCCTATGAAGTGTTTTGTTGTTGTTGGGTGGTTTTATCCTCTAAGAAGTTGTCTTACCAAGAAATAATTTTACATTAGGGGCCTGCATCATAAAAAAGTGAGGCTCATTTAAAGTAGTTTCCTTACTTGAATTCTGACATAATTCAGGTCCCTACCATTTATTTTATAATGAGTCACAGGGGTAACTTTAGTTATTACTCTTTGGTATATCTGAAGTTATTTGCATACTACCTCAAGATGTTTTGAATACTATGGAAAATTAAAAAAGGCTTTGGGGAGGGAGGCTAAGTGTGTTGCTGAGGGCCTGTTATGCTCCCTTGGAAGTTTTGCAAAGGCAGCATGTGAAGTCCTGGAGTGCCCCAGATGCCCAGTGTTATAAATTTGGGACCTCTCCATGATGACTTTTCTGAAAAAAAAAAAATGCAAGTTGCTCTAGTAACAAAGAAAGTCAAAAGAAAACAGTGTCTTGGAAAGTTAACAGGAATGAGAGTCTAAAAGTGATGTGTTAGATGTGACTTTATAACTCCAGTAGCAACATCTGGGAAGGATAACTCCTCTCTTCTTCCACATTCCATTCCTAAGGGCACACCCTCCATCGTGCCTGGACAGAATATCCCACATCTTTGAGTGACTTTAGCAGGGAAGTGAACCCAGCAATTCCTGAGGGGAATTCCATTATTATTA